TCCTGACTCACATCCATAAGGGGGTAGCCCAAAGATTCGTCAGCCGGTATGGGACTTATAAGATGGGAAAAAGTTTCAAGGACATCTGTGGGTACAACAGTAAGAGAGAAATCCGGAATGACACACTCGATCAAATATAAATCCAAAGGAGTAGCTCCAAAGTTAGACTCTAATGAGAAAAGAGAAAGCTCATTATTCAAATTAGGCCCAAAGAATTTCAGACTCAAGGTACTGTCTTCGGAAGTAGAATCAGGTTTAGTTTTAACCCTAAAATCCATAGGTTCCGTTTCACTTGAATCAGGTGACAAATTCGGTTGACTTACATCCATCTCTAGATTAGCTGAGTCGCCATCAGAATTTTCCAGAATTAAATCAGAATTATCCGGATTCATCTTAGTAATTAAATTAGAATCTTCCGATTTTAATTTCATTGTGTTCAAGGTCAGATCAGTTTCTTTCGGAATTAAATTAATATCGTCCAAGCAGACCTTATCCAAAGGGATATCGTTAATGAGATTAGACTCAAGAGGGGCTAAGGTATTAAGGTTAAAAGGTTCTAGACCTCCTAAATCAGGGTTTAAGTCAGGCAGGGAGTCTAACTCAATCACTTCAGTTTCATCTTCAAAGAAGTCTTCTTCATTGGTGACATCACTAGCATCCACGAAATGGATGCACTCAGTCTCAGGTTTAGGGAACCTCTTCTTCTTAATGTTTTCCTTTATTAAAATCGTACTTGTAGGGTCAAGGACTAGGGAGGCTAGAGGTTGACTGGGACGACTAGAAGTGGGTCCAAGTGGGGAGTCATAATAGACTGATCCAACTGTAGATCCAATAGGGGATCGGCCATCAATGTTAGGTGAAGACATACAGGGTGGGGAAGCAACCCTTATGTTACCAACAGATGGGTGACCTTAAGTAGGGGAAAGGTATTTTAATCCAAGTTCTCGTCTCATGTTTTTCCAATCAGAGGTAGGGTATTCACCACGAGACTCTTTATGATCTTCTAACCTCATCCAAAGTTGGAGAGCACTACCGTTCAGGTGTGACCTAGCAATGCTAAACTGGCGAGAATTTGGGATTTCATGCGATTCAAAATAGTCCTCTAATTGTCTAATCCATTCCCTAAAGGAGTAACCATCCAAAGAACGATCAAAGGCAGGCAGACGATATGGTGATTCTAAGTGAGGTCGAGGAGGCCTAGGCATAGGTCTCGGGTGATAAGCTGAGTGGGGCATGTAGTTAGAGTGGGGATAGTCAACGGGTTTCTCCGTCATAATTCTAGTCATATTGCCCACTAGGTTAACGATGTCATCTAAACTCTTTTGGAGTCTTATCGGGTCCATTGGGAAGCGTCAAGTGACACTCAAAGATGATTGGGTGTAAGGGACGTCATTTAGACACTCAGTTAGGCTCACTTAGACTCACTACAGGGTGTAGAAAAATTTGGACAGCAAACCAAACAGTTGGTGAAGAAGCCTAGGTGTTTAGGATGAGTTTTGGAATGGTTAAGGACAGAAGGGCAGCACCAAAACACTCTAAAACTAAGCTCCTAAAGGCTCCAAAGGTTGCAGGAAATAAAAGGGCAACAAGCTAAAGGATGGAAAAAGTTATCTAAGCTATTTGGGTGGACTAAAGAGTGCGGACAGCAAGTGACTACTACCATAAAACTCGCCCAAAAGGTTACTAATTGGCGTAGGAATTAAGTGGACAGCAAGTGTAGAAAAAAGGATAAGAGGCCCAAACTAAAATTGATGCTATGGGGAAGATGGCAGCACTCACACGACAAGATATGCTCATGTAATATGAAAAATGTAGTGCAGATTTTTCTGGACAGCAAAAGGAAAACAGAAAATAAGGCTATCTAAATGATGCTATGCATGAAAACCACTAAAGACAAATTAAAGAGAATTCCTAGGATGCATCTAGCACAAGTCAAGCATGCTAGCCATGCACTGATACCAAGATGATGTGATACAACATGAAATGGAACAAAAACTGCTTGGGGATTTTAATATAAGATTTTAAAGCCTTGCTAGTTATAGAATTAATGCTTACCTAAGTTAGATTTTCAGAATTATCAAGTTGAAATTAAGTAAGGCATGCGGTTATAACTAGATTAACGGGACAATATCAAATTGACAACATAGAATTAGAGAGTAATGCTATGGGGAGAAACAATAATCCACAATTAACAAATAGAACTTTTCACCTTGGGTCTCTCACTCACTCTCTTGTTGGTGGTACTTTTAATGGAGGAAGATTGAGAGCAACCGAGCGATGCCACTAGGAG